GTTTGCTGCACCTATCAATCCTAGGTTTTAAGTCCTGCATACATTAGGTATTTGTCCTAATGCTTTCTCTCCCCTTTCTCCTCTTGCCCCTACCCCCAGACAGACCCTGGTGTGTGATGTTCCCCTCCCTGTGTCCATGTGTTCTCATTATTCACCTACCACTTATGAGTGAGAACATGCAGTGTTTGGTTTTCTGTTCCTGCGTTAGTCTGCTGAGAATAATGGCTTCCAGCTTCATCCATGTCTCTGCAAAGGACATGAACTCATTCTTTTTTATGGCTGCAAGGAAAGTTTTGGATACAAAAATTCTGGCAAAAATGGGAACACCTTGTGACTAACATACTTTTAAGCAGTCACATATCCTTTATGTTATAATCAGGTGTAGAATTTTATTGGTGATTTATTGTAATTACACAGTATTTCATTGTCTCCTTCAAAATTACATTTGCATGCTTGCTGTCTTACTCGCTAGGACTTTTCAAAGGTGATCCCTTGCTCATACATATAAGTCTTCCTTATACCCTAGAATGTAAATGTCCTGAGGCTGAAGAATTTTATTTTTTTAAATAACTATTTACTTTTTTTAATCTTCTCATAGATCCTGGCTTTTAATAACCATATCTTAAGTGTAATTAATCCACCCCTCTCATTTTAAATATCATTATTGATAGCAATAATTTACTCAACGATATGTATCAAAATATCTACTTTGTGCCAGAATTGTTTTAGGAATATGGGATATTTGAGTGAACAAAAGAGATAGGGATCCCTGCCTTCATGGAGTTACATTGTGAAGGGAGAGGCAGACAATATGTAACATCATACTCGTATCTTATATAGAATGCTAGATTACATGGAATGTTTGACTGCATGGAATGTTAGAAGTTGGTTCACACTAAGGGGGGATAAAAAAGGTAGAATTAAAGAATCAGGATTCTTAGGGTGAATGAGAATAAAATCAAGCCAATTCTAGTTTTATTTTCTCTATAATCTGGTATTTGCTCTGGCCGTGATTCTATTCTTCCCTTGTTTGATAAAACATTGCTTTGAAAATATCTTTTTTTTTTTTTTTCCCTTTTGCATGCTTTGTAAACTTCTTCTCATTCTAGGAATGAGAAGTCTTTCTGGGAAGTCTTGATGTTTAGAATGATCTTTTTTTATTTATCTCTGGTCTTTGCTCCTAATTCCCTTCTTAAAATTTAGATCTCATCTAATAGTTACCTGTGCAGCAACATCTATATATGTATCTATCTATCTGTCTATCTATCTATCTGCTTTTTCTTCTTCATTGGAATTATTCTGAAGGCTGGTTCCAGTGACCTTCATTGGAATTATTCTGAAGGCTGAATTATTCTGAAGGCTGCTTTGCTTTCTCATTTGGAGGAGTTTATTTACTTTCAAAAAACCAGATAGTTGTATCCCTATCTGTAAAAAAATTACAGTGTTTCAGGCCATATTATTTCTGAGTTTTCTGAAGTTTAGAAATATAGTTTTATAAAATTTAAGGTGTAGATTTATGCAGGACATTCTCTTTCTTGTTATTGACTCTGAAACCAAATTGGTCACTTCCCTTTGAGGCTTTTGAAATGTCCAACTGAATTTCAAGTTATACGTTTTTAAATTACATTAATTCTAAAACGGCAAGTTTTATCATTTTTGTACTTTCTCATGAAGTTGACATTGTCAGAAAGGCAAGTAAAAAATTTATTACAATATTTTACTTTTCTCTGGATGCAAATCAAGTACCTACAATTTTGTATCCTTGCTATATTTTACTACTATGTAAAGCTATAATTAGAGATTTAAAAAAGCAATCTTCATCTGGCAAGGCAAATTATTACTTTTCTTCTAACAAAAATTTTACTACTCATGTTTTTCTTTTTCAATACTTATTTATTTAACTTATTCATCCTTTACTTATAAGGAAATGTCCATAGTACTTACTCCATCCATTTCTCCATCCATCCATCATCCATCCATCCATCCATCCATCCATCCATCCATCCATCCATCCACATCCATCCATCCACCCATCCATCCATCATCTGTCCATCATCCATTCATCCATCCATCCATCCATCCATCCGTCCATCCATCCATCATCCATCCATCCATCTATCCATCCATCCATCATCCATCCATCATCCATCCATCCATCCATCCATCATCCATCCATCCATCCATCCATCCATCCATCCATCCATCATCCATCCATCCATCCATCCATCCATCCATCCATCCATCCATCCACCCACCCATCCATCCTACAGCTATTTATTGAATGGCTACTATAGGCTTGGCACTTTTGGCCGCTGGAGGCAGAGCAGAAACAAAGTGTTCGATTAGGTTTTTCTGTGGAAAAGGGTTTTTGAAGCCTGTTTTTTCCCTGTTGAGTAGCGGCTGATGCTTCCTCTTGGGATGTTCCTTGTGCACCTTGCAGAAACTCAGACTCACACCTAGTGTATCATGCTGGTCTTGCTGCTTATTTCATCACCTGCCTCTTGAAACTTGCTCTAATTCCTCTTTTTCTCTTAAAGGTTTTTCTTTCTGGATTCCTGTTTCTTGCTCTCTTTTCTACCTTGGAATACATTATTTCTTCTGATAAGCTCAGGGCTACAGGGGAGCTCCCTCTCGCCCTCTCCTGCAGTGGCACCAGCAGGCATTTAGAGTATTAAGTATCCGGCTCTCACCACTGGCAAGAAGATGAACTTAGCACAGAGCTTGTGTGTCAGGGGGATAGATATTTATACAATGCAGGGTCTTTTATCCGAAGTTCTGTATTTAAGATGAATTTATATATATCCCCACCCCTCTCAAAAAGGAACAGCAAGAATTTTCAGTGCTGCCACAAGAAAATGCATTGCCAAACTGGAAGGCCATGAAGGTGAAATTTCAAAGGTGAGTTACTTTCTCATTTGGAGGAGTTTATTTACTTTCAAAAAATAAAGAGCAGGGCGTGGGTGCAGTGCCTTATACCTATAATCCCAGCACTTTGAGAAGAAGAGGTGAGAAGATTGCTTGAGGCTAGGAGTTCAAGACCAACCTGGGCAACGTAAGGATACCACATCTCTACAAAAAACCAAAAAAAGTCAGCTGTTCATGGTGTCACACACCTGTAGTCCCACCTACTCTGGAGGTTGAGGCAGGAGGATCGCTTGAGCCCAGGAGGTCAAGGCTGTAGTGAGATGTGATTGCACCACTGCATTCCAGCCTGGGTGACAAAGCAAGACCCTATCTCGAATTAAAAAAGCAAAAAGCGCATGCTCATTATGAATAGGTCTACTGGAACTGAAGTACTAAAATTTGTTCAATTGTCTCATTTTTTTTTCCTAGAAATCACTCACCTAAAGACTTTATTTTTAACTATGCCCTCAAATTTAGCGTAATAATGATTTCTAAAACCTCTTAAAAAGTATGGAGCAACATTCTCTTCCACTCTCAGCAAAAGATTTAGTTAGCTGAAAATACTTAATACAGCAATTTAAGGAGTGTGTAAAGTGCTTTTCCTGGTTCCAATAAACACATAAGTTTATGTTGTGCAAAAAATATGCTGTACAGCAAGTGTGAAGTGTTCTGTAAGTTAGATGCAATTGAGGAAGTAGTTCCTGGAAATACGTAACAACTAAAATATAAAATTATCCACTTTGAAACTACAAAGCTGTATCTTAGGATTTGTATAAACTTCCCCCAAAAGATCATTCACAGAGCAAGCCCACCTAGTCAGTGATCTGAAGTTCAGATGTGTCATCAGAACTTCGTAGAGTAGACTAGGACTTGGTGGCTGTCACCTCCCAGCTCAGCCCAATCCCTTGGTTCCCTGTCTGAGATCAGCTGTGTTCCTGCTTTGTAAAATATCAGCTTGATGATTTTAGGTTTCTGAAGGCTCCATCTAGACCCTGGAACTCTGCCCCATGCTGTGCTCTCAGCTCTCCTGCCCTTATCTTCTGCCCAAAGGAATGCAGGACTAACAGGTTCCTCTGATGGTCACTCAGATACCAACTGGCCACACCTGGCACATGGGAGGCACAGAAGGTTATTTATGGAAAATGCTATACTTGGGGTGGCAGCAGATGAGAACTTCCTTTCTTGTAGGTTCTAACATTCACTTATTCTGTGGCACAGATTAGAGAAGGATCTGTGTGCTTTTTTTAAAAATTTATTTTAATTTATTATTATTATTATTTTTATTTATTATTATTCTTTTTTTGAGATGGAGTCTTGCTCTGGCGCCCAGACTAGAGTGCAGTGGCATGATCTCGGCTCACTGCAACCTCGACCTCCCGGGTTCAAGCGATTCTCCTGCCTCAGCCTCCCCAGTAGCTGGAATTATAGGTGTGCGCCACCACACCTGGCTAATTTTTGTGTTTTAAGTAGAGATGGGGTTTCGCCATGTTGGTCAGGCAGTCTTGAACTCCTGACCTCAGGTGATCCACCTGACTCAGCCTCCCAAAGTGCTAGGATTACAGGCCTGAGCCACCGCCCCCAGCCTGGATCTGTGTGCTTTTGACCACAAAGACGACACCAGGGTTTGGCTATGAAGGATCCTGACTCGTGTGTTCATCCACACCAGGGCCCTGCATCTTTGCATGGAGAAGGGCATCGTGCATCTTTGGAAAGAAGCTGGGTGGGGAATACTCAAATTATATGGATGCTTTGGTCTTTATGCTTAAAAATGTGTGGAGTAGGCAATTAAATTTTCTCTCTGGATTTTAATTTCCATGTATTAATCCCTGCAATATTTTTTTTCCATCATGAAGAAATTGTTCTATGCAAGAATAAATACCAGACTAGGAAGGTGACATGTGCTTAGTAATGTCCTCTTTTTGCTGATAAGAAATGTGTTTGGAACCATTACACAAAGCTGTGATCATTTTACTTTCTTTTTTGCAGATTTCTTTCAACCCTCAAGGGAACCGTCTTCTAACTGGCAGCTCTGACAAAACGGCTAGAATCTGGGATGCTCAGACTGGCCAGTGCCTCCAGGTTCTTGAGGGGCACACTGATGAAATCTTTTCATGTACTTTCAACTATAAAGGCAACATAGTCATTACAGGTATGGAAGACATCAACACCATAGACTCATTTTTTCTTGATTGGCTGTTAGAGGTTCCAAGCTGAATACTAACAGGAGTTCATCCCCATTCCTTACCTCTTTTCTACAGTCACTAGCTCATCTTGGCCTGCCCTCATATTTTCATTATTTAATTTTAGTTTTATGAGGACCTGCAGGAGTGAGCTCTGCCATTGACTATAGTAAGGCTTTGTGAACTTTGAATTTTATTTGCTCTAGATAAGGTAATAATTTATCTAGATTTAGTAACCTTACTGGTTACTAAATTTTCCCAGGTGTTGTGTATCAATTGAATGGTTGATATTTAGTCAGCCAGGCGCATTGGCTCATGCCAGCAGTGTCAGTGCTTTGAGAGGCTGAGGCAGAAAGAATGCTTGAGGCCAGCCTGGGCAATATAGTGAGACCCTGCCTCTACAAAAAATAGAGCATTAGCTGGGCATGGTGGCATGCACCTGTAGTCCCAGCTGCTCAGGAGGCTGAGGCTGGAGGAGCACTTGAGCCAAGGAGTTGGAGGCTTCGATGATCTATGATCATGCCACTGTACTCCAGTCTGGGTGATAGAGTAAGACCCTGTCTCAAGAAAAAAATTCAGTTTATGGCAGTAAGTGTTAGTAACCAAAACAAGTCAGGATCAAAATTCTCCCTAGTTGGCTTTACAGCCCATTAGAGATTTATTCTTTGAGCAGAGTTTTTTTCTCCCCTGCTAAAGCACTAATGTTTGGGGGGAAAAGAACATGTATTAACCATTTAACAGTTTATGGTGAATTAATAATATTAGCAACTTTTCATAAGAACAGGGTAGCTTAGATTGTGGAAGGGGGAGAAAAATGACAAGATGATGGTATCATGTTAGTGCAGTGGCTCGAGGGGAGGCCTTGGCAGGGAATGGGTGCCACAGTGGTGTGGAGTTGGGTGCCCTAAGTGAGCATGGACGACCGGATCTGCCTAAGTACCAGTGATTCTCATTGTGTTGAGCAAATTTAAAAATTACTGGTCTAATAAGTTAAATGCCACAGGCCCAAGGTTGGCTTTACATATTGGCTAATTAGGTGGTTTCCTAGTCAGGTAACTTCAGGGGTGCTGAGAATTATCTCCCCTTACCACCTAAAATGCCTTCCCAGTCTACTTAATCATGGACAGTTTCCAAAATCACAGGGCTTATGATCTTCAGAATCTTCAGGCTTATGATTTTCAAGTGTTAACTAAAATGTAGGTACTTCGAAAACACTGGGAAAATAAGCCGTAGATTTTTGTTGTCAACACAATATCAAATCCTCCTCCTTGATGAGAAAAGAGGTGAGGGGCTATGATGGAGGGCACAGGGCGCTCCTGCAGGGAGTGAGAAAGAAGGAAGACCAGCCTTTCCTAGTCCACATGGCCTCATGTGAGGCTGGCTCTGCAGTACCTCTTCTCTCAACTAGTTTTCACAGAGGACCCTGGAGGGTTTAGCAAAAGAAATTTTGTTGTTGTGCCTTGCTTTGGTGCCGGCACATACATTCCTGAGTGCTTCTAAGATGCCACTGAGTAATTTAGTGTATCCCAAAGCACCAAAGTGCTTAACGTTGGCTCACTAGACAACAGAGCTTATTAGAATGGGGTGACACTTCTCTCTTGCCATCGATAGAGCAATCACTTTATTTGAAAGAGTCTACTCTATTTTTCGAGCGGACGCCAGTGTGATTAACTGCAGGCATTTTGTAGTGGGCTGCCTGAGGCTGGGTTTAGATTCACAAAGAAAATGGCAGAAAAGTAGCTGGCATGGTCTTTACATTTTTTAAAACATGAAGTGTCGTTTTGTGAGATACGGTTTTTATAGGCTTTCCTAGTTCCTAAGGCACTCACACTTCTTATACTGATGTTATGTGCCTAGTCCCTGAAGGTGAGAAAACCAGTAGTGCCCACTGATAATGAGAAAACTCCCCTAAAATTTTGAATGGTGGTATGTCCTGCCTCCTCCTAAGCTTATCACCCAAACCTGGAGATATTCAAAGTTACTGTATTTCCACTGGGTGGTGATGTTTGAGGGGACGGCAGAGGGGATGGCTGAGGTGGCTGCATTCCCAAGTTCTCTCCCATTCTAAGAAGCCATGAATCTTGCCAGTGTAAGTAAGCAGGATGTGTACCTGCTTAATTTACAACTAGCTGGTATCGTGGGGGGAAAAAAAAAAAAATCACTACTTCAAAGGTGCCTGAGCTGCTCAGAGACTCTGCAGCTAGGTGCGGAGAACCTAGTCCATTTAGCACATTGCTAATTACCGATGGCCCAGAAAAGGTCAACTTGTAGAAAGAGAGAATGAGGTGAATGAAATGAAGAAAAAAATAACTCTGTGAAATCTGTTTTATTAGGCAGCAAGGATAATACCTGTAGGATATGGCGTTGACTGAAGGAAGCTGGTCAGTGAGCAACCTTGCTAGCAATGGTAATCCAGAGCTGGAACTTCACAGACAGCAGCTCTTTTAATGTTTCTTACACTTTCTCTTTTTCTACAAGTCAACTATTTATACAACTGTCCTTTATTTCACGGATATGACCATTAAACATGACAAAGTTGTGCCACTCCAATATTATTATTTGATGGAGATGGCAGGACACAGCGTAATGTTTGGCTAATGCCACCAGTTATTTCCGTTGTGTTTGTTTTTTAAAAGCATTATGATACTGAAAAAGGAAACCGGAGTAACTTAACAACGTGTCTCCTGGATTTTACTTTGAAGCCGATTGTTATAGTTTCTGTTGAATAAAGTATTTGGAGGAAATTCCTTGTACATCTGTATTTATGATGTATGTTTTTAGGGTGAAGTAATTGAAATAATGTGGATCTTATTTAATAGCAAATATCTTCTGTTCTGTATTGATACATTGAAAAAAATGTTGGCAGGTTTATTTCTAAGGAAAAGTTAAACAGAATATTCAGACTATTGCATTTGAAAATCTGGGTGGGGCCAGGTGCCGTGGCTCAC